GGCTTCTTTTCGTAGCGTTGTTTACGGAGGTTGTCATGGCAACAAGGCGGCCAACTCGGGATTAAACTACGGCGTGGGGGAACAAGTGACGCAGAAATTGAAGCAGTATCGCCCATCGCCTGCCTTTAACCTTTAACAGTTTATATGATACGCGTCGCCTAGTGCAAGATTATAACAGTTCTTAGTTAATATTTGTTTTGTATAATAATTGTAGAAATGTTTCCTATGTATGATCCAGTATGTATTTTATTGGAAATGCCATTTTCCAGATGGAAAATTGAGGAAAAAAGGTATTTTTTAAATTGCGAGAGACCTGTGCCTTATTCTCTCGATATGGAAAAAAAAAGGGAAGTCAAAAGATGTGTATGTTCGAAAGTTTCAGAATGAAGTACATGGAAGTGTTCATTTAAAAAAACTTTTCTGTATGCTGTGTTTTTAATTATGGGTGTAAAGTCGGGTGTGTGGAATAAGATGGGATTTAACAATTTTGAGAACGTCACGCGAGGTTGGCGTAACCACAAAGCTTCTTTGGAACATACATGTACGGTGTGCGTTAATATTTGCAGAAGTCCACAAGCCGAACTAATATTTCTATTTTTCATAAAATCTAAATGAAAATCCTTCTCATGAACGGCAGTTTTTCGGTAATATTGCAAATGCAACTAAAAATTTCCAGATTCATTTAAACCTTGAAAATTGGAAAATTTTCGCCAGTGGTGCTTTTTTTTTCTTTTTAGTCAATCAAATGCTTCACCTATTCTCAATGTCACGAGCCGCCACTGCTGTACATAAAATATTGTTTGCAAGTCAAATATTTCTTTGTGTTGCATTTTAAGAGCATTTTTTACAGTATTTTTAGTTATATTTCATACAAAGGTTGTTCTTACTCTTCAGCTGACTATACATAATGATAATGCAGCATCATTATGTTTCACAGTATTTATAGTGATTACTCTCATCTTTATTACCTTTCTGATCATTTAAAACTTCTTCAATTATTTCACGATTTGTCAATTCTTCAATATAAACTTCGCTTTAGCCAAGTTATTTTCCATTTCTGCAGGGTCTCTTTAATTTCACATTATTGGTTTTAAAGCACTCCAATTTTTTTGGGTATTTTTTGATAATAGAGTTGCATGCTTAGAAGCTTGCATAATATCATAGTTGTTTTCGTAGAAATATCACGTAACAAGCTTTTTCGGTATGTAACTTTAAGGTTTTGCATCAGAACAATACAAATGGGTGGTAAAAATAAGATTCTGTATTCTGAACTAAATAACAATTTCTGTTGGGTGAGACAGGCATCTATTATTAATAAAGCTTTCTAAGAATGATACTTTCGTATTAGTCCCTTGTCATAGAGACATTATAGCAGCTTTGTAAATTCCTGAAGTTGGAAATTTTTTAAAGCTCTTGGATTATTATTATGACAAATATTAGACGTTTATATATTTCAGCAGCACTACAACATAACATAGAAATTAGTCTATCTTTGGAAATTTCTCTTCCTGTCGTTGATTATTTGTTTCCGTACACCCATGTAGTATCCTGCAGCTCTCAGCAAATAATAGTTCATGACCACATATCTCTGGCATGTGGTTAGGTTGATGTCATATCGCACTTTAAACTTTCCCAGTTTTCTGTTTTTTCATACATTACTTCTATATGACTATAAAAACAATTTTGTCGGGTTTTCCCTAATGACAGTTAAACTCAAGTAGTCAACTATTCCACTCCATAACGCGTGTTAAGAAATAGTTTAATTTCTATTTGGTTATTTTCAATCAGATTTAGGCACATTAAAATGTTCGGCAGCTCAATCCTTATCAATAAAATTTAAAATTTTAACTGCTTAATTTGTTTGGTTACTTTTAATATCAGATTTAGGTACATTAAAATGTTCAGCAGATCGCCAAATACTTTTTTCTTTATCAATAAATTTTAAAATCTTCAGTTTCACAGGGTGTCCCACTGGGAACTGCGTCGATCGATATCTAGGAAAGTACTGCTCCGAAAAATTTGAAGATTTGGAAAATATGGCAATGTCCCTGGGGCGAACACAACTAAAATATCTAGAACTCTCCAGCACTTCCGGTTATAATGGAAGTCGACACCAACATCGTTATTTTAAATGGGACACTCTATATATGATTGCATTTTCGGATTTTATGTGAAATTTGAGGGTCACTTTATCACTTTATTAAATATTCCCTATACCTAGGAGTTATAGATTTTGAGATATTAAATTTTAAAGAACAAATTTGGCAGATGCAAGGGTCTGCACAGATGCTAGTACTTCTTTTCAAGAGCGTGATATTAAACAGATTTTTCGTATCTATAAAGGACGTAGGTAACACTAAATTAAAATATTTAATACTAAGTGTTTCATTTTTGCTGTTACATTTTGATAACTTCAAACAGCTATAACTTTGTTAACTTAAATGGAACACCTTGTATTTTTTTACTCTGTCGTATGCATATTGACATTTCCTTTCATGCCATATAATCATTTTTAGGGTTGCCTTACTACTTTTAGAGATATTTGCTATTTTTTGTACACTTTTTCTCATATCAGACCCGTTGTCAAATAAAACAACTTGACATTTGTCAAGTTGGTCAAATTATTCTTATGCCTGTAACAGTTTTTGCTGAAAATTTAAATAAAAATGCCTGGGAATCGTTTAAATTATACTTATGAGGATTATTTTAATTTGTTTGTTATTTATGGAAAAAAGCAGCAGATTCTCTACATGTTCTTGAAATAACTTGGTCACCTTTCCATTAAATTATGAGATTTGACAGCAATGTCCTACAGTTCCCAAGTGTGTATATGTTGTAAGTTAACGCATACCAGTTTGTGGTCACACTAGCTTATTCAGTGGCGGGATATGAAAATTAGGAAAAAGAGCTCATTCAATTTTCAAAATAGAATTTGAGAAGACCAACTTATGACACGTGTTTCTAAAGTATAGTAAAATAAATGGTTCCAAATAAAATGGAAAAGCCCTTTTTTCCTAGAAAAGTCAAATATGAAACACTAATTGAATTTCTAAAATACTCAAGGGCATCAAAATTCTGACGTTAAATCTAAAAACTGTAACATGCTGTATCTAGAAAATTAAGTCCTTTAAAATGATCTAAGGAATTTGCCATCTGTTAATTTTATTTTATATACATTAATAGAATTTCTTGATTTATTTTTAGTATCTAATTTTTAGTTAAATTTTCACTCTCACATTTACACTCACAAATATTAACTTGAAATACAGGTTGTCTCGAAATTCATGCAACAAATTTGGTCATAGATTCTTAAGACAAATTTAGGGGACCCGTATTTTTTCTTTTTGCCAACTGGCCCCCTCTTTCGGAGTTACAGCCCCCTGAAAAGTCTTTTTTATATCTCAAAACCATGTTGTATGAGAATCACTAAATTTGGTACACAGGGGTTTTATGACATGTGGAATCTCAGTGCTACGCATTTTGACGAGAAACCACCTTGGAACCAAAAAAATTTGGTCGCAAATTTGATTTTTTTAAATTAGTTAGCTAGAAAGCCATTGAATTTAGAAACTTTTTTGTCTCTTGATATTTGTTTCGTAAAACAAATCAAACAAATCACGATATGCATTCGATCACATTTTGACATTTTTCTCGAAAACATTGCGTTTTACGAAAAAAGTATAACGAGACAGAGTTTCTAAATTTAATGGCTTTCTAGTGGACTGATAATTTTTAAGAAATTTAAATATGCGACAAAATTTTTTAGCACCATCAGATTCCACGTCATTCCACTGTGTACCAAATTTAGTGATTCTCGTACAACAGGGTTCCGAGATATAAAAAAAAGATTATTCTTAGGAGCGGACTTCAAGGGGCTGTAACTCCGAAAGAAGAGGCCACTTGGCAAAATTAAAAAATACGGGTCCCCTAAATTTATCTTAAGAATCTGTGACCAAATTTTGTTGCATGAATTTCGGGACACCCTGTATATTCATTCCCATTCATATCGCATAATATCGGAAATGTCACATCTGGAACGACTAGTTTTATTTCCATAGCAGTCTTGGATAATGGATAATGTAATAAAAGCCAGAATGCGTGATAACCCAGCCCCACAAAAAAAAAGGTGGTGATCTGGATAACTGACCATGGTATTCCTATATATTTTTCGAGACTGAATCTGAATCTGAGGCCAAAAACATTACTTAAATGGGGGTAAAGTTATGAATATCAGTAGCATTTTGGGAAGGAGTATAAATTTGCAACCTTTGTGCTCTCATTTATTGTTGCCAACGACTCCCTTGAAGGGGGTCAGTACACTTTCTACACCCTTCTATACCCTTCTGGACATAGATCTGCGTCGTGAAAGCTTCAAGCTTACAAGCTATTGAGAATGCAAAGGTGGCAGGGTGTAGGGTAAACACAGCCAAAGAACGAACCCCCGGAGGGGTGAAAACTACCATGGACTACTGGACGGGGTGGAGGAATATGTGGGAGAGCTAATTTTTCTTGTTTTTTACTGCAGTGTATTGAGCAGAATAGCTCTGAACTGCTTTACCCGTACTCGTCTAAGGACTAACCTTGGCTATTACGAATACATATTTGAATTACTGATAAACAAGTAAATTAATAATGTTTCAGTGTAGAAGGTTCACATCTTTTCGTTTTAGATTAAAAAAACAAAAAAGAAAATAAACATTTTGGTTTTCACTAATTTCAAAATTAAACAGTTAAAATTTTGCTTCAACATGTCAACCTCAACAACTTTGCCCTAATTTTACTGACCTTAAATCTCTTACAAGAACCGAGGTCCCAGTGAAAAAACATGAAAAACTGATACCCAATATGTTGCTTTAAATAAACTAAAAACATGTTTTTATTTTATTTAGTTTTAATATTTTGAAAAAATGTTTGGATTATTTTAAAAAACTGCATAATTAAATTGCATTAGAAGGTGTAAAATTTATAAACAGATCTAAAACTAACCGGTCCAAACTTACCGATAAGCGTATCATCCGGTTCATTCACATTCTGCACCAATCGGCTTAGTAATCTAAACACCAAAGCTAGCACGTCTAGGCTAGCATCAGACTTGATAAAAACCGGCAAACACGCAGGCCTCAGTAGCCCCCATATTCGAATGAGGACCAACATTTCTCGTAACATATTCAAAGCCTTCACGTCCCTTAATAATTCGTATGGTTTTCCAGTAACTGGTCTGCTGTCAGGCAACTTCACCAACAAGTTTAAGGCCAAGTCAGCGACCCACTGGATCAGCTGCTGCAGGCTCTGTAATGTTGTAGTTTCAACTGTGAATTCCTTAGCTTCCAGGTGCATGAGAGCCTTGTCAACATCACTCTGGCCTTCAGCAATCACAGCTAAAAAAATGTATTCATTTTTAATTTTTTCGTTCTCACTTCACAACTATCAAGCTGTGTACTTACTTGCTAATGAATCCGCTGGACTTTTTTCATGGCTATTCATTTCGCTGGGCCTGAGCAAACTTTTAAAAGCTGTCGATATACTGTGCAGCATGAGGAAATGTGTGAGATCATTCGCTTTCGCCTGGCCTTGAAAACTTAATCTAAAAAGAATTGTAATATATTTTTGTTTCACATTCACTGTCATTTGTTTGTGGGGTGTACCAATTTTGGGCACTTTTGGGAGGTTTCTTTTATTCTCTGAGGAAATAGTCAAAAAGTAACCAATACCAGCATGCAGGATTGATTTTCGAGAAAAAATTTATGGTGAAAACACATGAAGACATTCTGATTTGTTTAAAACGCATGCAACAGTTTTCATTTTTGGTTGTTTCTTTGTGATGTTTTTTATTATTATTTGGATAACTTTTCCTTTTTGGGAAATTATCAAATTCTGTACAGAGACAGACGTTTATTACATGAAATAAATAAGTGCTAACATTTTTATCACACATTTAACTCATCAAAAGCAACAATGAAAAAATTATTTTTGCGTATATGAGCAGAAACGTTATTTTATTGTATTTTAACTGTTTGTTGACAGTTAAATGTGTCATGGTTATATATGACGAAATAATATATTATGCCACAATGAATTACAAAAGAAATATTTTTTTTGTGTAAATATTATGTGTAAGCAATGTGTTTAAAAGGAAATTTTAATCAGGTTTGAAAAATCGAAAAATGTGAAGATATTTTTTAAAACTAACTCACTGCTGAGCATTGTTTCCTCTAATTTTTTTCACTGTCTGCGCGGTACAAGTATATGGGAGCAAAAATGTTCAAAACGTTTGTAAATGTGTGCAAGTGGGGAGGGGGGTCCCATGCCTGTGTTTGAAGTAAATTTTTTTTTTAATAAATACTCTTGAAAATTACATTTTAAAGAATTTAAAGTTGCGCAGCCGTTTTTGTATTTATGCTTTTAAGACTGTCGTAAACGTCATATTTTGTTTTATCTCGTCGAGCTACCCCAAATTAAGTACATTGTTTGTACGTAGTCCAGAAGTCGAGATAATGAAGATTTTGAAAGTAAGAGCGCTTTTGAATGCGCGAATTCAATTTTTGGAGCGGCCGAGTAGCATTACTCCCACTCCGTCGCCCGCTACAGTTAGCTCGCGCCGCGCTCGAATTCTTTGATTTGATGCACAATTAAAAATGTAGAAGTGGCTAAAATGAACCACAGTATTTTTTTATTGAAAATATAAGTCCTCAAGTTCAATCTCTGTAAGAATGGACATTGTAGCACTTAAAAAGCGGCCTGTGGAATTTGTTGAAAAAAAAAAACTATCTCGGCTCCAGAAGGTCGCAGAGCAACGTTTTTTTTTTTAAATTCGCGTAAAAATGCCAGCAATCGATTCCTGTAATAGACATTATCGACAAATGAAAATCGAAAAAGATATTTAAGAAAAACGCGACCCAAAAATTTTTTACTTTTTTCAAAATCATCTTTGGACACTTGAAATGAATAAAATCGTTATCACTCTTTTTTACCATGAAAGTACAACTCTTAAGGAAAAAAATGAGCCCTGATTTGTTTCTCTATAACTATTCGTCAAGCAAGAAGAGCCGATTTTCGAGACAACCTTTTTTTTGAAAAATCGTTGACTCGAAAAATTTTTAATATTTTTTCATTAAAAAAAGGCACTTTTTTGCTTGCCTAGTGCTACATTTACAGCTAGTAACAAGATTTAAAACCTTAATATGCAAGAGATACAGCAAAAAAAAGTCGATTTTTGACGGTTTTTTCGATATATCTTGAAAAGTAATATAGCTATCGATATATTTAAAAATACGAATCGANTATAAATTAATTAAGTATATACAAGGCAAACCACAAACTATTTAGCACTTTTTCAAGGAACGCACTTCTTTCAGAAACACCCTGTATATTCACTCACTTTGCTCACATAATTAGGATTATCATATCCAGCACACTCACCACAAGCTACATGGTGGTGATGACTTTTCTATTTTTATTATTGAAAAATTACTTGAATGTACCACTTTGAGCACTTAGCAGCAAAGTTCCCTTTAAGGTGCGCGGATGCGCGATCGCGCACAAATTTTTTTAGTTGCGCAGCCGTTTTTGTATTTATGCTTTTGAGGCTGTCGTAAACGTCATATTTTGTTTTATATCGTCGAGCTATACCCCAAATTAAATACGTTTGTACGTAGTCCAGAAGTAGAGATAATGAAGATTTTGAAAGTAAGAGCGCTTTTGAACGCGCGAATTCAATTTTCGGAGCGGCTGAGTGGTGTTACTCCCACAGATCAAAATGTCTTTTCTTGATCTGTGGTTACTCCCACTCCGTTGCCCGCTACAGTTCACGCCGCGCTCGAATGCTTTGGTTTGGCGCACAATTAAAAATGTAGAAGTGGCTAAAATGAACCACAATATTTTTTTATTGAAAATATAAGTCTTCAACTTCAATCTCTGTAAGAATGGACGTTGTAGCACTTAAAAAGCGGCCTGTGGAATTTTTTGAAAAACAAAATTATTTCGGCTCCAGGAGGTCGTAGAGCAAAGCAACGTTTTTTTTTTAAATTCGCGTAAAAATGCCAGCAATCGATTCCTGTAACAGACATTATCGAGAAATGAAAATCGAAAAGGATATTCAAGAAAGACGCGACCAAAAAATTTATACTTTTTCAAAATCATCTTTGGACACTTGAAATGAATAAAATCGTTATCACTCTTTTTTACCATGAAAGTACAACTCTTAAGGAAAAAAATGAGCCCTGATTTGTTTCTCTATAACTATTCGTCAAGCAAGAAGAGCCGATTTTCGAGACAACCTTTTTTTTGAAAAATCGTTGACTCGAAAAATTTTTAATATTTTTTCATTAAAAAAAGGCACTTTTTTGCTTGCCTAGTGCTACATTTACAGCTAGTAACAAGATTTAAAACCTTAATATGCAAGAGATACAGCAAAAAAAAGTCGATTTTTGACGGTTTTTTCGATATATCTTGAAAAGTAATATAGCTATCGATATATTTAAAAATACGAATCGATAGGTTTTTTAATAGCAACAACTTTCTCATTTAACTTTTTTCAATTGGATTTCAAGTTTCTTTTTTATTAACAAAAAACCGTTTTTTTTTACTTTTATGAATTTTTTAGGTTAACTTCATCACCATATTTTTTGTTTCCAGGTGGTATTTCTTGTAAGCTCTTCTACCTATTGATTGGACTAAATGCCTCATCTATAAAAATCCAGAATTGTCCGTAAAGAACTATGATTTATATTTCTTATATGAATAGCTATTAGGATACCTCTTTCAATGCTATATTTATTTATTGTACAATTTAATCATATTTTCAAGAGTTAACCATTTTAAAAACAAATGTGTAACATTTAAAAGAGCACTAGAAAGGTAGGTAAGTTAGCATTCACAGACTCGACTTTCTGCTCATGCCTGTAGCATATGGCCCTGAGAAGTATGCTCCTTCTCGGTCTGGTTGATAAATATATAATTTTTCAATAAAAATCTGTTCCGCTCATGATTAGAAATGCAATTCGATTTTATGATATACCTTGTATAAAAAGTTTCAAAAGACAACTGTCCAGAGAACATGAACATTTTTCACAGAATGACTACAATAAATGAATGTAAAATAATAAAAAAAAAACTGACCCTCCCGGAATTCGATCATTCAACGTCCAAGTGAAAATAAGTTAGTAAGCGGACCTTCTTGGGTCTGCATCATGAATCTTCTCACAAAACTCTTCTTATATTGACACATTTCAATGTCGAACTCGTCACGGACATAATTTTGAATTCTTAAATGAAGTTCTTCAGCTATACAATTCTTCATAAGAGACAGACAGAAGAGAACAGACAAACAAAAACTACCCAAAGTGCCAAGTATGAAATTCGTTTTGATGTTATTATTGTTGGTTGTGGCGGGTATTTTTTAAAATGTTTTTATAGAACTTTAAAAAAATAGAATAGAGATTTAGGGTGCCATCTGCTATTTAAATAACAGAAAAATCAGATTTGGGATGCTGGGAGTGAGTTTGGTTAACACTGGATGTAAATGAGTATGAGCTAGATATGAATGTAATTTTGCGACACAAGTTCTGTCTCTAAATTTCGTTCTGTGATTGATTTTGATGATTGCGCCTGCTACGACTCTTATCTCATTCTTACCCCCGTGTAGTTATAAAAGAAATTTGTATAAAAAATGTATACTAGAATAATTAAAAAATATTGGTACAAATGAATGAACTGGGTGCATAAACACTGACATGCAAATACACTACAATTGTCTGTTGATTTGGGCGTTCAAACGATAGTGAAAAAACAATGTAATAACAGTTCGATTTATGTTTATATATATTAATTTGACATGACTAGACTTTAAGTAATACCTGACTAATGTTGATGGACAAAACTTAGACTCTACTGTAACTAAAATGATAAGAAGAATATGTCATACATTTTTCGACCAACACTTGGTGAATGAAGTATACTCGAGCTTGCGATGTCTCTGGGAGTCGGCAACACACATACAACACAACACTAGGAAACGGGAGGTAGGTTTTTTGTAAATGAAAAGACCGATTGTTAATGGAAAGAACACTTTGAACCCAGTGACGGCGTGCGCGAGCTCTAATATAAAACCGCATCGCGATTTTTCGGACTTATTCTGCTATAGGCATGCTCAAGAGCACTTATCATGACAATGTTTTCACTGACATTTGCTTCCACCTTCATCCAAACATGGATTATACTTCGTGTATCCTCTCACAATGAAAATTTTAGATTTTTTGATGAGGTTTCTTTGAATGAAAATTTACCTTAGAAAATGTGAGAAAATTTCAACAAAAATATATCTATTAGCTAGAAGGATCCCTGGGGCCACATGCCCTCATTTTGCCGCTTTGTGGATCACAAAGAAGCCCTAGAAGAGTATGGAAAATGGTTCTTTTCAGAAGTCTGCGTGGGTAAGAAACCTACAATATTCGATTTTCGAATAATCGAATTCGACACAAAAATTTTTTAGAACTGGATGAAAAATCTGCAAATTAGCAGCACTATATGGTTGTCCTCGGGCATACTCAAATATGCAATACATTTATGAACTTGATTTATGACGAGTTAAGTGTCTGACGTCATTAAAAAAGAGCAGTTATGATACTTTTAGTTGTAATACCAACTTACTAATTATTAAATATATCTACAAAGCAAGTATTAATAATACATTTGTTTAATTTGAGTAAACTGTAAATTTACCTGTACAGTGATGTTTTTACACACAAATATTGTACATAGAAGAACTGTTGCACTGAAGTGGGCTGTCTATTAAAGCTCTCTGTTAGTCTGTCACAAAGAGCGTCCAACATTCCAGGTCTGAGAACCAATAATAAATCCAACCAGTCCAAACCACTAACCAAACAATATTCTAAAATAGTCGTACAGTATGGCACACTTAAGGGAGCCGAGCTTTCGATTTGTGGGGGCAACTTAAACAAATGCAAACTGTCGTCTGAGTCAACAACTAAAAGCATGTTACCCAGCCATGACATGTCTATATTTAATATTTTCGTGTTCACTTTCTGGTACTTGGCGTTGGGCTCTTCTAGGTAACGTGGTGTCATCGACAATGTCGTACTGCATATGGGTTTGAGTGTGTCTCTGTACAGACAGTAGATAGTGTTGTCCGCGAATGTGACGACTATGTATCCACTTGATATGCTGTTTAACAGACTCAGCTTGCTTGTGGCCAGTGATGTTACCTGACTGTTGTATTGAAAATGACGCTGGTATTGCCACAACTGAAACAAAAAACATCAGCCCTGTACCCATTTTACAATTTTTTGATATCTCTTAAAAATAGTAGTTTTTTCTTTAAATCAAGATAAATGACCGACATAGATATTTTTAAGGTTGATATCGATGTTTTTAAGACAGATAATGGTCATTATATTTATCTAAATCTGTTAATTTAAAAACGGGTGTGAAGTTATCCACATCCACATTTTCTAGTAGGACTAGAATCGATAAAGCCGTCGCCTCAAAAATTTAGTAAAAAAAAAACATTGCTCCTTTATAATGTGTCTTCGACTGTTTTTATTTTAGCATAGATCGATAGCAAATAAGTAATTATAATGAGATTACAGATTCATTCGTCATCCCGTATGGGGGGATGAAATGGGGTAAATTTCATAAAAAAATTAATTGCTTCTTTATAACGTGTCATCGAGTTTTCATTTCACCATAGATCAACAGGAAATAAAAAATTACATTAATTAGTAGTGTCACATTCATTTGTCAGCACGTAAGGGGGGATGAAATGGGGTGAATTTCATAAAAAAAATTAATTGCTTCGTTATAACGTGTCTTCGAGTATTCATTTCACCATAGATCGACAGGAAATAAAAAATTACACTAGTTAACAGTGTTACATTCATTTGTCAGCCCGTACGAGGGGATGAAATGGGGTGAATTTCATAAAAAAAATTAATTGCTTTGTTATAACGTGTCTTCCGAGTTTTCATTTCACCATAGATCGACAGGAAATAAAAAATTACATTAACTAGAAGTGTCACATTCATTTGTCAGCCCGTACGGGGGGATGAAATAGGGTGAATTTCATAAAAAAATTCATTGCTTCATTATAACATGTCTTCAAGTATTCATTTCACCATAGATTGACAGGAAATAAAAAATTACACTAGTTAACAGTGCTACATTCATTTGTCAGCCCGTACGGAGGGATGAAATGGGGTGAATTTCATAAAAAAATTCATTGCTTCGTTATAATGTGTCTTCGAGTTTTTATTTCACCATAGATCGACAGGAAATAAAAAATTGCATTAATTAGTATTGTCACAGTCATTTGTCAGGCCCGTAAGGGGGGATGAAATGGGGTGAATTTCATAAAAAAAATTAATTGATTCGTTATAACGTGTGTTCGAGTTTTATTTATATAGATCCCAGCGGCAACGAAATACAGAAAAAATTGATAATGCATTTGAATACATTCGTGCGATTTTTAAATATGTACAACAAGAGCAGGAACACATTTATACCAGTACATTCATGGAAGACCCAAACATTAAAACATATAAATCAAACAGACACGTACAACTGTGGGGTATACGTAATCTACTTTATATCCCAATTAATAGACCAAAAACCACTCACTGCTAAAATAGATATTTCCGGATACAGGAAAGAAATTAAAACTTTGCTATTACAGTCGTCCGATTGTGTCACCAACGTATGCTTAGTATGTGCCAATATCGGAGACAGCTTATCCCAAACGTGCTCTATATGTAGAAGACTATTTCATGTCACGTGTACTACTCTAAAAAATAATATTTGCGAATTGTGTTTTAAATACTACCAACAAAAATTTTAAACGAAATTTAATAAACAATATAAAAAAAAATTATGTATGCAATTTAAATCAAAAGTATTAAAAAACAGGCGAACAACTAGCAAAATATATGTAACCAGAATCTCAAACTGAAGCCAACAATTTTTGTTTATAAAATATCCCATTTCATCATATTGTCCGGCCTCACAAATTTAAATGGTGTCTGTCCTAAATGTAAGTAATTAATTTCTCCATATTACATATCACAAAACTATAGTCCAGGTTAAAATAATGCAGTACAGAGTTTTTTACAAATTCACATTTTCATAGGTTTCACACCGTATTTTTCTATATAATTACTCATTTATTTATTTAATTATTTATTTAAAATACATATCCAACAGGCGATGCCCTATAACAGGATATGTTAAGTCTAGTATTAAAATATAAAAAAGTTAAAGGAGAGAAAAATTAACTATGAAAAAACATAGAAAAAAAATAATACAAACTTACAAATAACACAGATATAAAGAACAAAATATAAAGGCAACAAACTATAAAAGACATATATGACTACATAAGTAAAGCATTTTTTATATCATTAGGCAAACAACAAAAAAGATCGACATTATTTTCTATCTTACTGTACTTGGAAACAATTTGATACAATGGCGATGCTACTAGGATGTAACTACGTGCTGCGGGTAAACTAAAAACATTATTACTTCTAGCTGATAGTCGCGGTACTTTGATATCAATATTAATTAAAACACCTGGACAGTCCAAAATGTTATGTTGAACTTTATACAAAACATTACTCGAAAAACAGATTTTCTTTTAGCAAGGACATGAATATTGAATATTTACTGTCAATCGGTGCAGAATAAAGACTCGTATTCTCATTCAACCCGACAAATGATTCTTTTTATGAAATCCATCGCATTTCATGTTACATGTTAATTAATGTAATTTTTTATTTCCTATCGATCTATGGTGAAATAAAAACTCGAAGACACGTTATAACGAAGCAATGAATTTTTTTATGAAATTCACCCAATTTCATCCCTCCGTACGGGCTGACAAATGAATGTAGCACTGTTAACTAGTGTAATTTTTTATTTCCTGTCAATCTATGGTGAAATGAATACTTGAAGACATGTTATAACGAAGCAATGAATTTTTTTATGAAATTCACCCCATTTCATCCCCCCGTACGGGATGACAAATGAATGTAACGCTGTTAACTAGTGTAATTTTTTATTTCCTGTAGATCTATGGTGAAATAAAAACTCGAACACACGTTATAACGAAGAAATTAATTTTTTTTATGAAATTCACCCCATTTCATCCCCCCTTACGGCCTGACAAATGAATGTGACTTATTACTTATTAATTAATGTAATTTTTTATTTCCTGTCGATCTATGGTGAAATGAAATCTTGGAAGACACGTTATAACGAAGCAATGAATTTTTTTTATGAAATTCACCCCATTTCATCCCCCGTACGGGCTGACAAATGAATGTAACACTGTAAACTAGTGTAATATTTTATTTCCTGTTGATCTATGGTGAAATGAAAACTCGAAGACACGTTATAACAAAGAAATTAATTTTTTTTATTAAATTCACCCCATTTCATCCCCCCCTTACGGGCTGACAAATGACTGTGACACTACTAATTAATGCAATTTTTTATTTCCTGTCGATCTATGGTGAAATGAAAACTCGAAGACACATTATAACGAAGCAATTAATTTTTTTATGAAATTCACCCCATTTCATCCCCCGTACGGGCTGACAAATGAATGTAACACTGTTAACTAGTGTAATTTTTTATTTCCTGTCGATCTATGGTGAAATGAATACTCGAAGACACGCTATAACGAAGCAATTAATTTTTTATGAAATTCACCCCATTTCATCCCCTCGTACGGGCTGACAAATGGATGTAACACTGTTAACTAGTGTAATTTTTTATTTCCTGTCGATCTATGGTGAAATGAATACTCGAAGACACGTTATAACGAAGCAGTTAATTTTTTTATGAAATTCACCCAATTTCATCCCCCCTTACGGGCTGACAAATGAATGTGACACTACTAATTAATGTAATTTTTTATTTCCTGTCGATATATGGTGAAATAAAAACTCGATGACACGTTATAACGAATTATTTTTTTTATGAAATTCACCCCATTTCATCCCCCCGTACGGGATGACGAATGAATCTGTAATCGTTAGTCATTATAATTACTTATTTACTATCGATATATGCTAAAATAAAAACAGTCGAAGACACATTATAAAGGAGCAATGTTTTTTTTTACAAAATTTTTGAGGCGACGACTTTATCGATTCTAGTCCTACTAGAAAATGTGGATGTAGATAACTTCACACCCGTAATTTAAAATATCATATAATAAAAACATAAATTTGATAAATTCGGGATGTAACTTTAAGAAAGGTCAGTTTTTAGCAGCTATAGAATACCATTCTGAAAAAAAAATTTAATTGAATAAATAAACACTATTTATTCATTTATACATTTTTTAACCAGTTTTAAACTCTTGTCTATATTTCTTTCCTTAACTCGCTTGTTTTTGTTGCCTATGGTTACCTTTTTAAAACCAACATATGGAAGTATTGCAGTGGCAGAGAGTGAAATTTAAATGGGAAATAATTTTGTCAAAACAGATTGCTTTTTATGACTTTGTAACTTGTCAACAAGAGAATCCGTGTTGGGAGAGCATTGGCCTTCTATAGCCTATATTAGAGAGATCCCCTGAGCAATGTCACCACCTTTTTCTCTGTAATAGGTTGATTAGCGGTTCGGGTGGATTGATCTCCTAACGGGAGGAAGTACAAGGGGCCCAATGGGGCCTAAGTGCTGTAGGTTTTTAAGCTACCCTCCCTAAAATTCCAGATTCCAGATTCCAGATGACTTTATGACATGTTATTTTATGTTAAATCAGTTGAAAAAAAATTAAGATTTTTACAAAAGGACCACACACTAATTACATTAAAAAGTGGTGAACCAGTCGCTGGAACAGATCAGAGGCACATGTAACCCATTTTGAGGTTGGTTCTTGGCCATTGGAAGATGGGTGTGGGCTGGAATAAGTTTTATATACATTTAACCCCTTTTTGGGGCAGTTTTTGGCCGCTGTGAGGGGAAAGATCAAGGGTGCGGTATAACACAATATTCATGGGTTTTACCTTCCTTGCAAATGGGCGACATCCCTATCTGCATTGCATTTTTACTCCATTTAAAAGTAGGAATAAAAGTGGCCAAAAACACAAACAAACCATCTGCCGGGATTTTTATTACTCCAGTGGACAAAAATAGCTCCACAGCAATTTTCAATTTTGACTGAGACGACATTTTAATGTAATTAGTGCATGGTCCTTTATATTTTTGGCACAATTTATTAAATATTAACTAATGAACTAATACGGGTGTTCGGATATACATAAGTTACTATTTAATTGTAAGTAAACCTAATTTATGGTTTTAAAACAATTATTTTTTACTTCTTTTTATAAAATAGAAAATAAATGAAAATAACTGACTGATTCGAAATACTTTTTAAAATGTAATGTATTTCATGCATCTCAGTGCCAATAACCACTAGCATTGACTGGTTTAGGTGAACTACATAATATCAATTTACCTGATGTGATATAACACTGCGCTAAGTGGGCAATAAGCAAATGGTTATGGCTACAGTTATTTATTTAAGGATGGTACTGTGTGTTTATTATTGTCTTCATTGTTAAATTCTGCGAATATATTCATATTCTCCAATGAACATAAAATAAAATAGTGATATTTTTCAAAAGGCGTCGATTTTAAATTAATATTGAAAGTAAGTTTCTTATTTCTATTTCAAAAAAAGTTATTTTTAAGAGAAAAATATTGAACAAAAAGTTATATTTTGTTTTTCTATATGCTAATATTAATGACCAATATCAATAATCTGCATTAATACTGCTATCACCAATATACCAATATTAGAATTTGTAAGTCCCTTAATGAACAACTCAATTGACTATGACATGTACAGCTTAACTTACCACTGTGTTAAAAAACTGAGGGCTTTCAGAATTACCCAAAGATTTATGTACAGGTAAAGCTTTTTCCCTAAGCTCCCATACTTGGAGACAACTCATTTTATCACTACTTGCCGTCACAACCAAAGAGTCTGCATCTTCCCTCATTATCCATTTGATATGACTCACTGTACATTTATCTTTCGATAACTGATCCACTAAAAAATAAATTCTCGTGATTATCATTAAACATAATATACAACATGAATTGTTTGATTTAAATTTAAAATGAAAAGGAAATTGAATTTTACTTACTTAAAGCTTCTTTAGGGGCTTCAAATAAGAAAAAACTAAGTAATGATTGGCTGGTAATGACACATTTGTCTTCTACTCTTTTAACAGAGACATTATAGCACTGAATGGGCATCGAAGGATCTCCATTGCTCACAGCCAACAGAAAATGTCCATCTGAAAGTATCATATATATGCATCTGCTATAGATACAGAAACATTTCATTCGTGAACCAATTGATAATCGATCTTACTTTTGCCGTAACATATATCTGCAGTTTTGACATAAATACGAGTAGGGCCCAAACTCTCCGTGGCGAGTAACATTGGGGTTTGGCTTGTGTATTGGGGTAGAAGAATCGCTGCCAACATTCCGGTAGTCGTTAACAAGAGAGCGCCGCTGGTAGGTCTGCCTCCGAATTGTTTCACAGAACAGGCAAACTTCACATGTTGAAATTTTTCGATGTATGAGGAGCAATCCTTCTTTTCTGAATTCAGACAAATCTGTAAAGAAATAATGTACCTATAAGTGTAAACGATAGAAAAATTTATAAAAGGCAACTACCCTTTTGCCTGAATGGAAAAATGCAGCAGCCAAAACATGCTCTCCTTGCAATGTAGTTTGTAGAACCAACGTCCAATCATTTAATATATAGTCCTTTGTACGGTAAATTCGAACACAGCCACTTTCATCTGCTATCAGTAATAGTTCACCTGTGAAGTCCCATTGTAGCACTGTCACTGGTGAAGAATTGCACAAAATTCTAAAACAAATAAGATCAATTAACTGTAAAAAAAATATACATACTTACTTATGAACTTGCCATGGACTGTTTAAATCTGCTACATATACGTTTGAACTCCAAAATAAGGAATTGGTTTCCTCTATATTACTCTCAGTACTAAATGCCACAACATTAGTACAGGAAATAGAACAGAGTACAGATTTATCAAGCCTAAAATTTAAATATTTAAAAATTACAGATGGTATTATGTTGGAAATCTTACTTGTTGAATATATTTTGTTTGTAGGCATGGATAGTCTTATTTGGTTTTTTGCCTATTGAAAAAATGTGGTCCATTTTAATTATTATATGATATCTTTTCTGTAAATAGTTTGGAAATACTACACTATTCACTTCAAATACATAATATTTTCATTTTTCAATTTCCTTCACAACAAACTTTTTCAAGTTTTTTGACAGACTATAAAACTGTGACAATTTGACTTGACTTTGACTTGACAGTCACTACCATGGACCATGGAAACTACACAGTCGCTACATTCGAGTACATTCGCTGTTAGAGCAGCGTTTAGGAATAGTTTGAGGTATTTGGAGCGTTTGGTCCATTCTTTTTAGTATTGAATGCTTTCTTGTCAAGTATTTTCTGAACTACATGGATAACATGGGTTAAGGTTAACAAGTTTTCATGTCACATGTAATATAACAATTTTGAGAACATAAACATAAAATTTATAATTATTTTTAAATCTGTATTTTTTCAAATAAGATTCAGCGTAATGACAAGAATTCCACATGATAATTTTATCTGTTATCCTTTCCTATATAACGTAAGCAAAATAATCGCAGGTAGAATATTTTCGACAAAAAATACAAAAATAACTACAATTTAGGGTTAATCCACACTACATATAACGTAGCTAAGGATGCACGCGGCCATCGAGCCGGTGGACTGGTGCGGGGTGGGTACGTTTAGGGTAGCGCGGAGATTGCTCTGCGGGCTGCGGTCGCAGCTCCGCGAGGACAAGTTTTTGTAATTTATATTTTCTTGTATTCTTGGATTTGGTTGTTCCTGAAACCTGAAATTGAAAAGGTCTAGCGGGGCGGGTGATGGTAGAGGTGTTGGGGTGGTCACCTCGGGTCAAAGAGTTGATGTCTAGGTCGTTTGTGTTTGTCTGAGGAGGAATGGACGCGGCCGCAAGACACGACGAGAAAATGCGATCACTGATTAGTTGAATAGAATCTCGTAAAAAATTAAAACAGCCCCTGAAACAGAATGTTGCGTTCCAATGTAATCTTGATTTTATTATTTTAAAAATATTTAATTTTACCGAAATTTAATTACCAACACAAAGGAAATAAAATTACTGTTCCAAACAAAATCACTAGTTACGTGGTTTGTAATCGTTTATGAAGGCTCTGCTCTGTACTCCCTGCCCGCTAACCTTTTCTGTTTCAGAGACAGCCAGGATCAAGAAACGAAGGCAACGACACACACACACACACATACACACCCCCCATACCCTCCTTACCCCTCCCCTCCCGCGCTAGCCTAAGGGCCACCTTAGCAAAGCGCATCCCAGGCTGCATAGCCGCACTACCCTACCCAACCATACCACACATAAACATGACACTACCCCCGGGGTTTACACAGACGAGCCGGCGAAGCAAGAAGAGCGCCAGAAGAAAGGGCCCTAGCCGGCGGGGCCCAGCCAGGACAAAAGGAGGTCCCACAAAGCGCCTACACCGGCCGCATTTGCGGTCGGGGTAGACGACGGATGGGGCCCACCTACGAAGGCTGTCCAGGCCTACACGAGATGAGGCAGGATAAAGAGGGATAATCCCCCTCGATCCCAAATCATTGAGGCCAATTT